AATGAAGTACTAATTAAGTTTTAAACAAGATGAACATTTATATGCATGATCAAGATATATATATATATATATATATATATATATAATCAAGTGTATGATTATAACTACTGTGAAACCACTATCATACTTCTCGTATTTTACATATGAATATTACTTAACTCATATTTAATAACTTAAAAGGGTTAGACCAGTTGAATTCAATTGTAATAATACGTACATAATAGAAGGTTTGACTTGTTGACTAATTCTCTCAACTCCTCTCAAAATGTTCTTGAATGTTCATATTAATCTGTCATTGATTCTATGAAGACATATGAAGATTGATCATTTTGTAGACTAACAATCATCGTTTGTTAAGGCGATCATGTCAATTCATTTCAAAAAAGCCTTACATATTAAAGTTAGCTTGTGTTTCATGGCTCAACGTTGTAGCCATTTACTTTGCAAATAAGACGGTTAAATAATCAATTTTTTTGATTGATTTTATAAACTATAATAGAATCTATTACGTTCCTAACTCTCATCGAGTTAACGAATCAAATTCTTGTAGAGATATTTGGTTAAATATTGACCTTCAAAAGTATAGAAACTTACTAGCATGTATTATATATACATTTTCAATATGTATGTGTCTATGTATATGGGTCGTGTCTATTGAATAAACATGTGTTTCAACAATACCTCTTGCTTTATCATCATCATTATTATTATTATTATTATTATTATTATTATTATTTGATGAATAAAACATGATACCCGGCTTTGACCGAACCCATATTTGAATTTTGTAGATGGTTTCAATTGCTTGCAGGTCATGTATATCGGTCAAAAACCCTAAACTTTGTTTTATGAATATGAAAAAGGGTTCTATGGATTGTAGAAGTGGTTGGGTCAAATGTATGAAAGAAAACGATTAATGTATGCATTCAAAAACAAAATTGACTTAATAATAGTTTTATTAAAAAAAATTAAAAAAGTAATGATAAAAAAATCATTAAAAAGAAACAATTAAATTTATAAAAAAAAAGTTTGTATTTTTTTTGATAAAATGTTAATTTCTTTTTGGTGCTAGTTTTTTCTTGGTTGTGGGGCCGCTACTCACACGCTAAGGTAGAGAAAAAAGTGTGGTGATTGAGAGGCCGACAACTACTTTATTTGCTCAAAAAACAATATTTTATAAGTTATGATTTATTTTTCTATTATCTTTACCTTTTCAATTCACTTCATTACTAAATGATTAAAACTTTATTTACAATAAGTTTTAAAAATACCAAATTACAAATATCATTAAACAACAAATTCTCTAAGATAAAAAGAAAGTTTTATTTTTTATATTATTATTTAAAATAGAAACAACGTAAAGAAAAATTTTAAGTTCGGAGATATAAGGAAAGAGAAATTATTGTTATTTTATATAATTAAAGAAATGTATTGAGATGATAAAATTAAAGAATAAAATAATCTATGTTTATATCTTTAAAATAGAGAATCTGTTGAAATTGAATTTAATTTTTTTTAAAGATTTTAAATTTTGACTATCTATTCTGAACAAATTATAAAAAATATGTTGGAAATGATTTTATAACTTCTTCAAAACTTGCTTGCAACTCCATCATGATTTTAGATTTATATGTATTATATTGGGACATAAGGACAAGTTCAAAATAAAGAAATGGTTGAAAATGTCAAATTGACGAAAAACAAAAGAAGAAAATGTAACCATATAAAAGTCAGATTAATTAAAATAAAATACTTTTTATTTAACATAATTTGTTTCACTCCAATTTTATTAAAATTTACATGACTCAGACTAAAAACTAGCAGGAGTTGTTTACAACCACCTTTTTTAATCAATCCATTACAACATCTCATAGGGTTTCATTCTCATTTAGAAATATATATATATGGTTGGGTTCACGTGAGAACAGTCTGTTTTCGTAAGACCACAAAATAACACTGAAACTTTACGCAGCAGTTCATTGTAAATGTATGAAAAACAGCGAACCTTCACAATATTTTGCCTTTGAAAACTCGGTGTCATTTAAGTGGTAGGCTGATTTAAGATGATCCCAAATCTCTCTCTGTATATATAGCATGATACAGAAAGCAGCAATCAACCAACTCAACCAGCAGTTCAGGTTTCTCAAGTTAACTACAAAACAACACCATTCTTTCTCCTGAACATAAAACTAAAAACTAAAAAGAGATTCTAACCTACAAACCTAATGCCAGCATGTATATATAGTAGACATTTTTCTATAATTGTTTCTAAATTATCTAGAAACACGATGCTCAATAGTTGTGTTGAAATAATCATCCGGCTTTGGATGTTCTTGCAACTGGTGGAAGTACTACCAAATCGAGGTCGGCAGGGTAAGGTGACCACAGCCCTAATCCGCCCCTGCTTTCTTTTAGACCACTGTTGTTTCCTTTCAATTCGTTTAAAGATTTCACCCACTCGATTTTAGAGGAATGCTCACGAGTGTGTGGGTGCAATATGAAGATGGAGTTATACTCACAGTTTGGGAACATGAAGAAATTGAAATTGCCCTTTAATCTGTAAACCACAAACCCAAAGCTCAATTGATCTCTTGGTGTGAATAGATTCACCTCGTTGAACCACAAGCAACTAAACAAGTTATTCAGTGCAGTATGTTCGCGTATGATTATAGCCCCTTCCGGCACATCTGGTGTACAACAGAAATCTCATCAGATTACAGTATAATGTAATGCTAATTGCTAAATCCTTTCCAACTACTTTTTTTTAATTCCATGGCTCAAAAATAACTGCAACTCATTTCCGTTGTTTAGAAGTTTCAATTTAGGATTGTCTCCTTCAAAGAGTAACCGTTACAAAATATTAATAACATTGGTTTTGATCCACAAGATTCGTCTACTTTGTCATATTGAAGGATAGTTTAAATATTTGAACAAGTCAACACTTTGAATAAACTATAGGCAACATGTATAGTTAAATTTAACTCAGGATGGAGGGAGTGCGGTTAATACCAAAAAGAATCTATGTCTCACTTCTTTTTCTTGCAAAAGATTGAAATTTCATTGAATCAACCAAGAGTGCATTTTACAACTTGATCAACCCCAAGAAAGTAAAGGGTGCTGGAATTATTTTTTAACAGTGGAGCGTTGACATTTATTTGTATTAGTTCAGATACTTTACTCAAAATCTAAATTACTTTGTTGCCAAGTAGTAATAAATTAGAACATGTTGGTAGCATTGTTTTGGTTCTAGATAATAGTCGTTGAACTTATTTTGGGATAAAGGGATTATGAATTATTTTTAAACTGTTAAGACCAAAAGAGTTCTAATTATATAACACTGTTATTTGGATACTACATTATAGTAACAACTTATTCCTCAAATATCAGCTCCCATTTGACTTTCAAATGTAAAATCTGGACAGTTTGCTTTTAGCAACAGATAGATTAGTAGATTCAGGTGCAGAGATTCTTCAGGAAACCAAATCAAAGTACTTCCACCATCCAATAAAAACTGCAACAATTTCCTTTGGTATGTCCCATGAAAATTGTAACGTTCCCATTTGCTCATAACCTTTTAATGTAAAACTACTTAAATGCCCACTGTTAGGATTACAAAGAGTTAATGACATTGATATGGTCCCAAAAAGTCTCCTACTGTGATACTATTGGAGGGTATTTTAGATATTTGGTTAATTATAGGAATGTTTTCTTAAACTATGTTCCCAGCTAAACATTGGAATTTTTGATGGAGTAGGAGTATAGGTGACAAGGTTAAAAAGATAGAGTGTTGAATATCTTACCGCTTTTGGTTTTCTTCAACGGGCTCCAAGGGTCCAATCCCTCATAACGATATATTTTGATGTGGTGATCAATAAGAGGCCGGGCATATCGCTTCCTTCGCTTGTTGGAATCAGCCTCCTCATATATACTCTTATGATGCTTGTGCTGAGCTATGGCAAATGTATGCCTTCCACGCCATAAGTACCTGCATATGAAAAGGCAAAACGTTATATCCTAATTGAATACTCAATAAATACCAACTTCTAACCACCTGATGAATTCATCACCAAAAGAAATAAATAAAAAGATAAACACCACCACGACAAGGTAATATTGGTTGTAACAATTCCTCATCAGGAACCACTATTGTACTGCTTCCGCAGTCACATGAAAATTGCAGAGTATGAATCTAGAGCATAACATATGGAATTGTTTGTCAAATGCCTTAAATAAGGGAACCTAAGTGGAGCAAGATCAATGACATCTATAAGTTGTAATGCTACAATGGTCGATTAGGCAATTCTAACTTCAAATATTGCAGGATAATGTATAAAACAATTGCACCTATCCACAGAAGATAAGAGCTTGGAAACTTTGGTTTCCTTATGATTAGTAATTTGTTCATATGCTTCTCCAGATTATTCCAGAAATTCAAGAAGAATTCAACGGCATCGCATTTAACTATCAAGTGTTAGTATAACCTAATCAAGGTGGTCAATTTTAGCAATGATTCAACAGATTTGTTGTTTCATATGCTACTATTCAGTTGTTAAAGACAATGAACAAGTATAAAGGAGAACCACATCTGAAATGCTCGTAATATAAGTCCATACCTTTCCAACATAAGTAATGGATCAACAATTAGCTCCATTTTCCCATCAATCCAGATGCTATAGAGTGCTTGAGGAAAGAGCCTATGTGTCAATATCTTAGGAACCTTCCCATTCCTTCTAGGCTCATCATATGGTGGATTCTTAAGCAGAATAAGGCGCCAGATACCTACCCATTGTCCCTTATCACCGTCCTCTCTGACAGTAACATTTTGCTTGATAAATTCTAGAGAAATCTCATCCACCACCATAAGAAAACAGAAGAGTTTCCTGGATCGCAGGCTTACATTTGAAGGCTGATGAGGTGCATCATATCCATCAAATATTCCAGATGCAACCACAAACTTACACCTCTTAACATAATCAATATCTTTGGGAGACATATCTGCACCACCATTTCGCATAAAGCCACAATGTACCTGATTAACAAGAGAAGAAGAATGGAATCTGATAGGCTACTTTATATATACATAAAAGATAAAGTAACAGTTTAGGTATCTGACATTATATATGTTTTATACAGAAGCGAACTTGTCACACACAGGACGTAGGGCCCAGTAGGTGAACCTACCGTGGGCTCGTCTGTGGGGAGGTATCTTCCTTGAGAATTATTTATCGTGTGGGAAATCTTGAATACTATTTGGCCATGCATATATTGTGTCTGCAAGTTCGATTGATGTGCACTGCAAATTGAGCTTTGGTCTATGTCATTCTTAAAGAACTCTCATCTCTCTATATCTACGAATGTAATCAGCTCCACAAAATGAACATGTTTTGTTGGTAATCTGAAACCTCTTATACGTATTAGAGGTGGCAAAATGTACAGGTTTGGTAGCGGATTAAAATGGGTTAGGGTCAAAATGGGCAGGTTGAAATGCATTAGCTTTTCAAGGATGGGTCACGAGTCAGATTTGGTAGGTTGACCCATTGGGTAATACCCTCTTTATGTTCTATCTTAAACTTCAGCTCCCATGTTGCATTTTATTTCGCCCCACTCCCTTAACCCCCCCCCCCCCCAAAAAAAAAAAAAAAAAAAAAAAACTCCAGTCTCACCTCCTTAATGCAAAGCCCACATTTACCATCATCATTGACCATTGTCTCAGTCAGAATACGAAGTACTTTCTGATTTCTGTTTGGGTTCTCGTTTTTTTAGGGCTTAAAATCGATTTTTCTTGGTTTGGTTTTCACTTTTTGGCTCATTTACGTTTAGGATTTGAATCTGGAATTTTCAGACTTATTTTGGCGAGTTTTTTTTTTTTAAATTTCTGGGTTCTAACTTTGTGTTGGTATAGAGAACATAGTAGGGACTTAAACATGGTGTTCATAGAGGGGCATGCCAGGTGAAGAAGGTGGCTCCATACCGGATGGAATTGGAAAGTGGTAAGTGGTATGGAGCTGTCATATAAGTTGTCTACAGGTTCCGTGATCACTTAAGTAATTCTAATGGAGAAGGCTTATAGTGTATGGCTGGACGTGATTTAGAAAAATCTGGAGAAGAGAGGGTACCATGGAAGTAAGTTAGGGCGATTCAAGACATGTATGGACGATTGATGATTTGTGTGAGGAACTCAGTGGGTGAGATGGAGTATTTCATTGTGGCTCAGGAGAGTGGAGCATTTCGTTCCTATCTATTGCAATGTTGGCTGAGATTTCCTGAGGCATCCGGAGAGAGCGCCCCATGATGTATGTTATTCACGGACGAGGGACGACATTCTGCTTCTAGCGAAGTCAAAGGAAAAGGTGAACGAGAGGTTGGAGCAGTAGAAGGTTGTACTGGAAACACAAGGCCTATGCAATAGCCGCTCTATGACCCAATACTTATGGTGCAATTTCATGGAGGAGTGTATGGACGAGGGGTGGAGATCAACATTGGAGGCAAAGGGTACCCCAAGAGGATAGTTTCAAGCATCATGATTCAAAAGGGGGTGAGGTCGAGGGTGACATGTAACATCACATCAAGACATGGTGGCTAAAGTTGAGAACTTTCATGGGGGTGTTGTGCGACAAAAAAGGACTTGCTAAAACTGAAGGGCAAATTTACAAGGTACCATCGGACAAACTATGTTGTATGGGTCGAGCATTGGGCTATAAGGAAGGCCCATGAGAGGAAGATCGAAGTCACTGAAATGAGGATGCTTCGATGGACCTGTGGTAGAACCATGTTTGATAGAGATCTTCCGAGCAGTGTTGGTAATTGCGCCACTTATGGATAAGTTAAGGGAAGGAAGATTGCGATGGTTCGGTCACATTCGTAGAAGACAGATGGCCTCTCTACTGAGGAAGATACAAAGTGTGACGGTCGAGGGGGCAAGGAGGAGGGGTAGGCCAAGGAGGACATGGGATGATCAACAAAGTTTGGACATGGCGGCTTTAATCATTTTCAACGACACGACCTTCAGTGGGAGTTCTTGGAGATGCAATACTAGACTGGCAGCCTAGCGGTGAGGATCTCTAGCTAGTGCAGACACGAGGAAAGGAGCTAGAGATATAGACATGAGTTAGCAGTTAGGTTACCAAAGCTCTAAGTTAGACTACGTGTGTGTTTCCTTAACCTTTCTTTCTTGTACATGCTTCTCTATTTGAATGTTATTGCTTACTAATAACCAACTTTTCAAATTTATCTTATTTGCCTTTCTTTTCTCGCACACTTTTCACGAGTCAGGGGTCTTCACTGAAACAACCACACTACTCTAGGTAGAGGTCAGGTCTGCCTCGATCATGCCCCCATACCCCAGTTCCAGGTGGAATATACTAGGCTCGTTTGGTTTGGTTTGGTTTAGTTTAACCAAACCTTTGTTCATAAATTTTGATTCTTTTAGATCAAGGTTTCAATCTTTGTTTTGTTTGGGCAAGTTGATTTTTACAAGGACTTGGTTTAGGATTACTATAATTTTCTCCATGACAAACACCCATTTACAAACAAAACGACAATGAAACTATTGATCTCAACCATTTGATTTGATAATAACACCAATACATCTGATCCAACACTTAGAAATATTCTTTATGTTGTGTTAAAATCCGATTTCACCACCAGATACAACCTAAATTCGATAAACTCCAAAATCCGGATTGTGATACATATCTGGATATGATCAATCGAATTTATTCCTAGTAAAATCCGAAAGCATGAAGGATCTGGAATCTAACCAACTCTGAATCATGATTCCGATCCCAAGTCCTTTTAGGATCCAAATGTTTTATAATGTTGCTGGAATCCAAAATATAACTTAGTTTTCAGAGAGAAAAATAGAATATGTTTTTAATTGTACAAGTCTTATTATATTTAATTGTATTGATCCAAATCCACAACGCCTTCAACAGAATTGAAGACTAGTTGAAGTGAAGCCAAGTCATCAAAGCGGATTGGATTGTCATATAGCCGATTGAAGATGAGTACGAGATAGAGTCAAAAATAGATTGACAAAAAATATTTACGGTGAGCCAATTTTTTGAGTGCAAACTTAATTAACAAGTTTGCCTCATCAACTCGTCCTGGTACAGGAACATGCTCAGTAGTCTAACTAAGTAAGTTCAAAAGTACTATTTTATTAGTACCATACTTTCTTTACTATTCTCTCTTCATATAGAAGGATGGGTTGTGTCAACAAACGTCTGCATCAAACTCAAAAGGCTGAAATGAAGAGTAAAAGCATGCATTGATCAGCAAATCATATGAAGACATTAATGCAGTGGTAGCTATAAAAGGCGACCTTTGCCAAATGTTGCAACTCACTCGTTTTGATAAGAATTTATGAGTGACAGTTTCTTAGGCAAATTCGGCGTCAACATCTAAAGACTATAGTAGTTATTCAGATCTGAAAGAGTACCTTCTTCTTTCACTCATTAGCAAATCTATCACCAGCCAGATTGTTTAGGATCAGGTCTTACCTCCCTAGCTTCTGCAACAAATTTGTAATTCTTTGTTTTTATATAGAATTAAAAAGTGAAAATTTGTTGTGTTTGTATTCAAACCCCCCTTTCTACAAACACTTTTTGTGTTAGTCATTACCATTCCAGGACCAAAAGAAACCTTCAATTAGACTGAAAGCATCCTTCAAACTTCTCACGTGTAAAAATCATAACTTAATTATTCATGTTCATGATTCCAAAGTGGTCTTCTATAGTTGCACTCAACTGCCACTAAACTAGCTTAACTCTATATAGGGCATCTTTTGTTTATATTTCTCATTGGTGAAAGGGGTGAGACTCAGAGATCACAAAACAGGGAGAGGCCTTTGTATCAAGATAAATGACTTACGGAGAGGACCTGTAAACTTCATGTAACATATACTAGATGGAGGAAAGTGAGTACTTTTTGTCCAATTTCAAATATATGGCAGTGTCTCATTGTCCATTTGCCCTCAACCTATGAAAATTGAGAGGAAAAAGCATTCTCATCCTGAGGTAGTCAAGAACTATGGTTAATCTCAGAAATAGTATAGCTTCCATTCCTTGTATACCAGATTGGCACTAATGCAAAGGCCTTCAACGTGATTTCCACCATTATGCAGCTAGATCAATAGGAAAAACTAGTAACAAGGAATAAACACATGTTTTTGTTCATGGTGTAGGGGCTGAATGTTCATTGTGAGCTTATGTCCAAACAGGATTTCAACACTATATAAACACCACCTATGAGCAAATGAACAACAAAAATTAGACAGATTATTTACCATCATGCTTGATTTTAGCTTAAAACTCTCCTCTCTCTGTTTCCAGCTTTGATGCCCTCCAAATAGTGGAGAAGACTCTGATCCATTTGTGTTTGCATCATCCTCCTCAAAGTAGGATAAACTTTGAACAAACTTTGAAGGAGATCTTTTCTCTGGAATAACTATTTTTTCTGGGTCATTAGCCAGGGGAATAGAACAGCCTAACACATATTACAGAAGTATATCAAGCTCACTCTGATGATTAACAGTTTTCAAAGAAGATATTGTGTAGCAGCCTTACGATGTGGTGGTGTTACCATCCCCATGTTGTGTAGCATGTGAAAGACTGTGCTGTCTTTGTTACAGATAGCTGTACAGTAGCAAAAGAAAAAGTATGATAGATCAGTTATATAAAATTGCAACCAATTAGCATACAACGTACAAACCAGTAAAGTTTTAACCTTTTAGAGTTTTAGTTGGAGAAAACCTATGCCAACATTACCTAACCCGATTATTAAAACCCTCTCAGAGCAGTAGAACTTTTCTCTCCTTGATAACTTGCTTTTATCTTATGTTTAGTAAGCTAGAATTTGCTCCCAGGACTTTCTAGCAGCTGCTAAGATATAATGCAAGAGTTCTCCCAAAGTAATCAAAATTGTTCCATTCCCAGTGGCATAATGTAATGCCCGTTCTGATAGAAATTGAGCAGAAGTATTATGCTATTTTAATTTCATTATTTAGTGAATTAGATCTTTTAGTTCCTGTGCCCATCTAAGTTACATTTAGCATGAAATTTAAAAGTCAAACAAGAATAGCAACTAGCTTTTCCTTTTCATAAACTTTTTTCCAAAAGAATTACACTCAAAACGACGTGGGAAAAGCAAGATGAACATTCATGCAGCCATACCATCAGGCCAGGAAGAAGAATAAATTATGTACCTGGACAAAATATTAAACTAAAATAAAAGGTTGCTAGGAAAAAGATATAAGAGCTCATTTCTAGAGTATATATGTGTGTGTGTCCCAATTGACATCAACAAGAATGAGCTGCCAATATTGAGATTGATACTCTTCTATTTGCTTTAACTCAGTATTAAATCATTATTTGAATGTTGAAAGTTGAACAATTGTTCACGTAAAGGCAGTCCAACTCATTGGATCCAATACATGAGATTGAGCGGTACACATCACCAAAAAGCAAACATCACAAAGAGTTTAGTTTCATTACATGAACCTAAATTACGAAAAACAATAACTAAAAGAACAGAGCACTTAAAAGTAATACTGTTGCTAGATTCATACAATTATGTGATTACATCCTTCTTTGAGTAGTTGAGTCAATAGTGGTATGCAGGTAAAGGATGGACAATGGAAACTGCCAGTGAATTACTACAAGAAGAGAAATACGTGCAATAATGAACTTCATAAAATATATCTAGTAAAACAGCCTTCTGAAACATGAAAGGGAAATAAAAAAAAAATTGCTTGCAAACAGTTCCAGTACCTGAAAGGAAAACAAGTGAAGATTGACAACTCCATATATGAAATAATAGTACAGCTAGAATGAGCATCATCCATAGAATGCCACCCACTAAAAGCAAACGAACAAATCCCCTTTTCCAGATAACTTTAATAGGGTAGTCTGAGGATGATTTGTCGTCGAAGAAACCATCAGCACCTATCAGAAGTTGCAAACACCATCACTAGTCATAACAATATCATTTTAATGTGTGTGTGCTAAAAACACTAAAATCACAATCTTAATAATCTGAATATCTTAATCCTCTGATTCCCTGATGCATTACATAGTAATACCATAAAACCAATTGCACTCATTTGTTGCACTGCTCAAGTCTGTAATTGACATGGAAGTTTAGCCTAAAGGTTTAATCAGAAGATGTGCCGAAACATGATGACCCACTCGTTAACTTCTATCACTTAATTCCACATCCCAAATAATTTATAGTGCATCACCATCCATTCCAATGACATTTGCCTCTAAAGTTCACATCAAATTCCAGCCAACTCTTGTACAAAACACCTTAATTAATATAAACCTCAGAAAGCATGAGAGTGAACATTACATGCCAAGTGTCTAAGTTGCCATATATGTATGCTTGCACTTAGAGTTGCATGAAATAAGCACCCACTTAACACACTACTATCAACTTCTATCTGCTATTCAAATAAATATCATTTTACGATGCCTCCAACTTCAAACATCAGCTTTTGGTTAACAAAAAAGGCTAAACTTACTTCATATTAGTGTTGGTATTTTTGTTAGCTCCAATTAATGATAAACTTCACATTTCATGTTGAATCCAATATTACTGAAGTAAAATTGGTGCCAACTTCATTAAATTGAATGATCAGTGCTAGAAGTGAATATGATAGGTTAGGTAAGAAACCATCCATGTCCATTTCAGTTTCTAGCTCAGTTCTGGTCACTCTACAAGTTAATTTCGAAGAAGACATCGAAATTCGTGAGGAAATTTACGATTACTGACTAGATAACAACAGGAATTTAGTTTTCATAGATTACCTTTCATTTCGAAGTTATTATAAAAACGATCAGGCCTACGGCTCGCCCGTAAAGACACGGACCGGTGAACATCGTTCTCCATGCTTAGAGCTCTACTGCATTCAACATCAACGGATCAAACGAACCGCAAATTCATTCAGCACAAGATCTACAAATATTTTCAAGGACAAAACATTAGACACTTTATTGGGCAAGGTAAATCAAAGAAGAAAAAGCTTGAAATCAGTAGAGCTTCAGTAATATTACCTTACTGCTATGAAATTGGATCTTCCGGTATGTCCTCAATGCTTCGAAGTGTTTACAGAGATAGATTTGAATATGAAATGAAGAAATATGTTGAATCTGAGGAGGAAACTATGGGAACTGATTGGAGATTGAATGGAAACCACCGACGGTAACCTTTTTGAAGTGTGCGGGATTTTGCGGCCAGCCCCCTCCGTGTGATCTGTCCGGCGCATCTAATAACAGTTGGAAATAGATTAATAAGTAAATTACAGATTTGGTCCCTGTGGTTATATCAAAATTATGAATTGGGTCCCCAAACTAATTAATTACTATCATCATTGTTGTTTCAATTTTATTACGAATTGGGTCCCTCGACCTAACTCTGTTATAAATTTTGATACATAAGGGTATTTTCGTTTTTTATCAATTAATTACAAACGACCCAATTTGGGAGTGTCATGTATCCATCCATACGTAACGTCTCTCTTCGTCTCCATCACATTCCTTCTCCATTTCCCGCCATGAAAAACTGACTTTTGTTTCCTTACATGTTCAAAAATAGATCTGGAGCCTCACCCTCTTCAAAATCTCGTTTGTTCCCTTGTTATGTTTGCTTCACTTAGAAAGCGCCAAAATGATGAATGCTTTCGTATTTTCATTAAGGAGTTCTACTTTTGTTCGGGATATTTGGTATAACAAATCTCAACTCCATGACACGTCCGACGAGCTCTTCTAATTCTCCCATTTACTTACACTCCTAAGAATGGGTCGTAGGGACCATTTATCTGCACAAAATACCATTGATAGGTTGCCAATATGTGTTGTACTCTGAAACAGATCGCAACTTGTCTGAGTTGATTCATGAGTCGCTTGTAGTTTCTATTGGTGCTTGAGATTTATGAGACAGAGAGTTATATAATGTCTTGAATAGATATGGAAAACGTTAAAAGGAGAAAGAGGGGGTTCTGTTTCAGATTGGAGGTGGGTCGTGAAAGCGGCGGTGGTTATGGAGGAGAAAGACGATTGTGGTTTACGAAAAGGTACTTAAATGGAGGAGAAGAAGTACCATCCATTGAGGAGAATGACAAGTGGTTATGGGTGTAAAGGATGAAAGTCTCCATGTTCTCAGCGGTCGGGGTGCTTCATCGGCGGATCTCAATGATGGGTTTTGATATCTATAATACCCCAACTATATAAATCTATAATAAATATTTTAATATAATATAATTATTATAATATGATTACGGATTCGATGATTCTTTGCTTCAGTAAGGGTTCCAATAGCTTCGAGCTAGTTATTGTTCTAATGGCAACAACGTCTGCGTCAACTCAAAACTATTGAAACCGATTGCATGCATTAAATCCTTCAACAAGACTCCTAAAAACTTTGGGCTTAAAGTGGTCCAATATGTTATTAAAATAAGAGTAAATTACGAATTTGGTCCATAAGGTATATCAAAAATTACAAATTTATTATTTATCTTCATTTATTATAAAAGAAACTTCCACGGATGCAAATTCTTATGGATTTGGTCATAAAATGGAAATTGGCCAAAATAGCCATTTCTCCCTCCTAAATTAGCCTCTTATTCATTTCTCTCCCTGATTTACCTAAATGTCATTACCTACTCAAGTCTCACCTTCTCCACTTGTGGACTTAACTAAAAGACAAAAAAATCATATTCAACCCAGGTCCACAATCGATGGCCAGGTTCGCAAGTGCAACAGTATCAGCTGTTAATCTAGGTTGAATTTGAATTTTTTTTGTATCTCAGCTAGGTCAGGAAGTAGGGGATGTGAGACTTGCATAGGTAGTGACATTTGGGTAAATCAAGGAGATGAATGGCTAAGAGACCTATTTATGTGAGAGGGATGGCTATTTTGGTCAATTTCTTGTCATAATAACCAAATTTATATTAGTGTTAGATTCTATACTAGAGATGCACAAAATAACCTAGGCCTAAAACCCGAGCCTAATGAGCCCAAAGCCTAGATCGACCCAAGCCTCAAAGCCTAGTTTGGCCTAAATTTTGGAGGCTTATGTAACAGTCGAATTTTTAGTGAATTTTGAATATTAATAGAATAATTTTTAGGGTATTATTTTATTGAGGATTTTTATTTTTGAAGGATATTAAATAAAAATATTAATATGTGTATGGTGAATCTTTTATTTTTAGTGGGTATCAATGGAGAGAATAATCATTTTAAAAAAATTATTAAAGTGAATATGGAAGTAATTCAAATTCTGGGCCAAATTATGAAAAAGATAGTCATAAGGGGCCTGTTTTGCCAACTTTCAAGAGATAAAAAATGGAAGGGATTAATGGCATTAATGGAGATTCTCCTTCCATAATTTTTGGGGAAATCCGACTATATATACATGGGGTCGGCCGGATCCTTGGAGGCAGGTTTCATTGTCGGCATTTTGGAAGATTTTGGTGTTGGAAAACTAACAAATGGTGCCACGAGGAGAAGTCTCGAAGCGCGAAGTTTTGGCTCGTTTTCGGTAGTGATATGCGGTGTTAAAGTTGTCATTTAGAGCAAACTTTTAACGAACCTACAGTATCAGGTGAGTCTTTCACGAGATTTCACTGGGATGTATACATACATACAAACTATTTTTACATGTATGAGGTGTGGTATTATATGTATGTTTGTTAAGGTGTTAATTACATGTTATTTATAATTGGTGAATTACATGCATATGGTTTTAAATTATGGTGCATGCATGCTAAATTATGTTACATTTATTATACATAAATCACATGCATATGGTTTGGGGTTCGGGTTAACATGGTGCGTTGACCGGGGTATGGGATATCGGCTTATGTCACACTAAGGGGAGACACGACCCATGATGGGCGATTAGTTCTTTGTGAACCTACACGCTCAGCAAATGCCTGTGACATGGCATGTCCCTACCTAACAAGTGGAGTTAAGAGATCTCGTCGGGGTGGTATTTTCGATAAAAAATGCATGGCACTCTTTTGTTGACATTTGTACAGTCATTATGTGTATTGTGCTTACATGTAAACCGTGGACTCACTAAGCTATTTAGCTTACTATAGTATACATCTCAGGAGCCAGAGGTTATGTAGTTGACAAAGTCAAAGGACTCGCTTAGAATTTTAATATTTATTTAATGAGGTGTTTTTATTTAAATATTTGGGGTTCGGTTGGGTTGTTTTTTTTGTGACCCGGTATAGAACGGGTTAACTTTTACAATTTTGTTATTTATGGTGTTTAGACTTTCGTTGGTAGACGCTTTGGTTTTAATTATTGGAGTGTTAAATGATGTACTTTGGATGACATAACATTTCATTTGGCAAAAAAAATGGGGTGTTACAAGTTGGTAAAAGAGCCTTAGTTTAAGGAAATTAAGTTAGTGATAGCCTAAGCTTAAACTAAGAGGGTATTAAGGGGATGCAAATTGGGTGAGGTAGGTTACTATTAGCCTAGACTTTAATTAAGTGAAGGGGTCAAACAGTATATAAGTTTTTTTTTTATTTTTTTATTTTTTTATTTTTTATAAAAGGGAAATGGTATAAGCAAAATAGGATATGTGTCAACCAAGCTTAAATCATGAGATTAAGAATACGAATGCAACATAAGATTCTTATTGGAGTAATTTGCTATTATGAAAACTCACGATCGAGTTATTGGTGACGTATTGTATTTCCTTTTTAGGAAATAGGATAGGAATGGATGGTCCATGTAAGGTATGGTTAGATGAGGGATTATCCCATGGATTAGTGAATCGTCGAAGGACTATAAATTAAGTTAGTTGAGGTGGTGCTCAACATATGTGGTTATAGGTATGGAAAACTTTGAGTTTAGGAAATGAAGCACTTGTAAGGTTGATAGGAAACATCTGACAAACATTTATGACCATAATGGTGCTCCTGGGGAGAGATATAAGTGATTTAGAGTTGAGCATGAGGCCAATGTCAATTAGGGTATTAAAAAAGGTTATGACTCTTAGAGACAAGATTCGTCAGGATGTTCAATATGGTAAATGGGGAATTCATTTGTGATGAAAAAAGACCTACATGATAGCAAAGGGTCATATACTATATGTGATGGGTATGGGGTTGGTGATTAGGCCACCCATCTAATTGGACATTATAAGAGGGATATGTGTAATCACTCTTAGACCTTTGGGTGTGAGACTATGAAATGTATACCATAGAGACACAATTGGAGAGTACTATGATTGCGGAACATGGTACTAGAGATATTTGAGGGAATGGTATCGAGAATGGCCAAAAATTCGCCAGAGTTTGTGTCCATGTCCAAATTATATAAGGATTAATTAAAAGCTATATATTTTAATAAAGGGAAGCGGTGATAAGATGAGGGTGGAGAAGATATAATGGGTTAGTAATGGAATAAATCATAATTAATACTTATGATTACTAATACTTTAAGTAAGTTACATATCTATAAACAGCTGGATTAGGTCGCTGCTTTCAACATTCTCTAGACTTAAACTCTTTCCTACCTAGAGCACAAGCTAGAAGACCTCTCCTCTAGTCTTGATAATGACAAGAGGGGGAGAAAGATTAAGAGGAAGAAAAAATTGATGCTGATGAGGAAATTGCTGACGATGCTACTGCTTTGATCCCTCATGCAGATGCTCTGATCCCTACCGCTGAAGATGCCATTGATGAAGATGATGTCGTGATCGCTCCTACTGATCATGAAGACCATCCCTCCACCTCTGCATTGCCAAATGCTTGTGATAAGGATGATGATGAAGACGATAATGAAGATGAGGATGCTTAACCTCAAATTACTAATGCTGACAATGATCTTGGTGATGATGATGAATATGACAACGACAATGATGACTTTTGCATTTAAGTCATCCCAAGACAACTAGCATTGAAGGGAATCTCCATTCGAGAACCGGCTTCCTAGGGGAGAGACCTTCAGCTTCAGGGAACTAGTACTCCAAGGATAAAGGCAAAGGAGTGGCTGAAGACAACCTTGCCATCGTACTCAAGGCAATCAGTCCATCTAAGGTCGCCAAATCCTCCAGGTTTGTACCTATCACCTCATATACTGAAACATTGAACCCTATTCATCTTCTTCTCTATGTACCAACAAACCCTTCTGGTCCATCAACACATCTCACATCTTATGAAAGGACAGATATAAGTGAAATAGAAATTCCAACACCGGGACTGTGGGTATTGCAGAGGTGCTATCGTGTTGAGTCGGACTCTAGAACCCTTGTATTGAGGCTTTGATCAAGTAGGGTTGACACTAAGTCATCGAGGGTATTTTCGGGATGAACTTATGTAGATTCGGGCCCCAAGATCATTGGCTTATATGTGTATCTTTATGGTGTGTAAGTAGACATTAAGGTTGGGGTATTGTAGAGATGAACTCGTATGGGTCGGGCTCTAGGACCTAAGGTAATGGTGGAAACTTGAGAGGAGTTAGACACCAGGATCGTGATCTTAGGGCGCTATTCGATAACGTTGAAAACATGGCTTACTTTATGTTACGCCACTATCAATGGAAACAGGTCTCCCCCGTCATTGTATGATTTTAGATATTGAGTTTTATCCATGTTTTCAGTGACATTTTAAGAATGAAGTGTTATCCATAATTTATGATTTTGAGTTTTTTAGCCTTAACTATATTTTGGTATTTATTAGGATAATAGAGCTACAACACCTGTGTTTAGTTAACTCATACAAGTTGTGTTAAGTGAACTTTAGGTAGAACTGTGCATAATATGTTTATACCCTATGCTTAACGAACTTGAACCTCAGACTAATTTTCTGATGCAATACCATACAAAGGGCCACAAGTTTACAAAATGAAACTAAAACTAACTTAAAATATCAAGTAAATACTATTATGGCACTGGCACAAAGTTGAAAAACTAGACTTGAGGGGTCCAAATGAAAAATATTGAAAAAATGTTCCCTAAATTCATGAAATTCATTTTAACCTTATTTCTAATAATCTTTTTTCTCTTCTCTCTTCAAGAATTCCCATTGATGAAGCTAACTCAAACCAAGAAATCATTAAATTATGAAGTTGGGAAGGTTAAAACTCAAAAAAACTCAAATGCATGTGTATAATTTCTTCTCCTTCCAAGTTGAAATTCTTATTTAGGTCATTGATCAATCCTTGGGTTTGAAATTCTGTTTTACATTTAAAATTATGAGAAGATTGAGATCACCATTGGAACCAAGGTATGTTAAACTCTTGGTATGAAAACACGAAGTTAAAGAGTATTGATTTTATGCTTAGAAGGTCTATTAAGATGAAAATAAACATTGGTGTTATTAGCAAATTGAATTGAATGAAACTCAATTGATTTTAGTTGTAAAATTCGGTGTTGTGCAGGGGAGAATTAACAGTTACAGCTTGTTTATAAAATTCATATAAAATCATTGGTTAGTCCAAATGAGATATTTAATATACCTTTGGAACGCTTGAAGTGTCTGCTATATCTTTGTGGTTTGCAAAGACCAGATTTTGGCTTGAAATGGCTCAAAATTTTGAGTTTCCATAAGTGGTCAAATGGAACTCGAGAGTTTCATGTTGTTTTTGTAAAATTCATATGAGAAGCTTATACCCATCAAACCCAAATATATCTAGGACTACTCTAGAGATAATAAGGAGTAGAAACAATGGTTCAAGTCTTATTTTCTCAAGTAAATATTGTTGGTTATTAAAGTGGTAATGAATTATTGTTTTACCTAAAGGTGACTTTGTATCAACACCAAATGCATTCGATCATGGTATCTCTGTCATCTTCTATTCAGGTACATATATTATACCTCACTTGCTACAGGGGTAGCCATTTACGTAAGCCTTTTTAATCCAGATAAATTATGATTAGTTTCAAACATATTGGTTTCAAATTCTCACTGTGCTTGTTAAATGTTATTGAGTTGTTTCATTTTGAAATATGAATTAAATTCTGATTTGGCACATGGATCACTTGACTTGTTAGATTGAATCTATTTTGAACCCTTTACTATAGACTCGATATTGGAGCCATCAGTATTGAGATGTTTCCATGATGACTATAACTATCATGGTGTCATCATTTATATATAGCCCTTAAAATAGACTTAACTAGGTACTGATCAAATAGAGGGTGTATGGATCGATCCTAGAAATCGTTATTTGAGAATAAGTTGTGACCGTGGTTAAATCCACAAAGAGGATTGTTGTGTTGTGCTCGCATCCATTTTCTTACTCATGCCTGAACGGACTGATCATCATTTGGAACAATGTGTCCCCATGATGTGGTTTGATCTTCGAACCTTTGACATGCCTTCAAGGCATATGTTTGGCTTGACTTTCTTTTAAAAACCTCCTACATCTGGATTATCACTTAAAGTTATGTATTTCTTTTGAACTTGTTATCTCATATTCATTGTTTAGTTACTATTATCCGTTCATTGAACAGTAATCTCAACTGAGATTTTCTTTGTCTTTGGCAGGTACATGACTTAGTTAGGACTTTGGGATGAGAGCTACGGAGATGACAAGACTGAAGATAACCACTATTATGATCTACATTTGTTAAGATTTTGATGACTAATGTAGATGACATAAATGTGTATTTTTGGGACTATATTTTGGGACTATATTTTGGTACATGTTTTTATCTCCATTTGTAGTTATGTAATTATATTTTAATAAATTATATTAACCCTCTGTTTTAACCAACGGGTTGACTTGGAGTTGTTTTGAACCTAATTGTGGCATCTCCAGTCCTTGGCCACACAGGACGAGGGTGTTACGAGAGCTTTATCTGAGGTTTCAGTATTTGAACATTGAACCTTATTCACGTTTTGAGTGAGTGTTAGGTGCTAAATTCGTACTCGATTGATTATTTTGATTTGGAGTTTTCATCACGAACATGGTAGATTTTGGAAAGATGTTCATTTTACGGTAAAGACTTTTCATGTGAGAAATTATACTTAATAATAGTCTTTTGGTTTTATCGTTATATACATTTATGATGAAAACTGTTTGAACTTATTAGACGTTAAGCCTAAACTTTTTTATTTGTCGGTATATGCATCAGGTCCTTGTTGTGGTTTGGTACTAGCGACACCGTAATGAATTAAGTATTAGTTAGAGGCACAAGAAGAATCTAGCTATTCGATGACGTCTTCAGCATTGGAGATAACGACTGTTATTGAGTGTTAGTAACACTCGACCTTGACCTGACCCTTATATAAGACTTGGTTTATCATTGTTGATGTTAAATCTATATTTGCTATCCGAGATAATTTAAGTACTAATTTACAGAAATGGATTTATCCTTTATTTGGTGTGTTATCAAAATCTTTAATTTAATCGTTCTTTCCAGATTTTAGGGTGTTAGAGGAGAGTAGGGAAGAGATGAGACATGCAACGTGTTGTTATTGGTTGAATTTATACGGATTTTTTAATCTTTAAAAGAAAATAAGATAGAAATGAAATAAAATACCCTTCCTTTAACAGTAAAAATTAATGACTGTTGGTGGAAGGAACAAAACAAAACCAAGAAAATCAAAAAAGAACAGGGACCCCCAAGAGATATACATATATTTTTTTGCCAAACCAAGAAAACTATGAGATATTTTTTTTTTGCCAAACAAGATTCATGTTTTAACGATTCATAGATTGTCTCTTAATGAAACTATTAAAAGATAAGATCAAACCAAAAAGCAAAATAAGTTCTTGAAAGAATGATTTTAACCATTGAGAAATACTTTGAGGGACGATTTTCGTAATTAACTCAAAAACAAAATCTCTTTGCTGCAAAAGAGGGATAATCATCTTCTTCCTGCAGATTCGACATTAATCACCACCACCACCACCTCTTCTTCCTCCCTGAGTCCCCGTTGACGCCGGACGAAAGTACGCCACCGGACATCGTCGTCTTCTACAATACCTTATCGGTCTCAGCCACTTATCATTTTGGATCGGTAAGTTCTGCTTCCTGTTTCCAATTCTCTTGAACCGAATTTTATATGATCTTGCTCTGGTTCCTTTTTATGCATAACTTTATTTGTTCTTGTTATTTTGAGAATTAGGGTTTTGTACAGTTTGGGGGTTTATATAAATCTTAATCAATGGTAAAATTTGTTTCAGTAATTTAATTGGGTTGGCTGAATTTTGTGCCTCTCTTTTCTCAGATTTCTCTCACGCCTCGTCGTCCCTTAGAGCATTAGGTTTCCATCTGTTTCACCTCCCTTTTCGTCGTCTCTATCATCAGGTACTTCTCTTGCTGCTACATATTGCAGCCATCTTCTTGTAGTTTTTTCCATTTTTTTCAGGCTTCTCTTACTGCTATGTATTGTTGCCATCTGCTATTACTTGCTTGATAATTCCCTTCTTTTTTGCCTACTTCTCGTCCTGCAGTTACTTGTTATATTCTGTAATTTTTTTGCTGATAATGGTATATATTTTCTTCAGTCATCATCAGAGTAGCTAGACTCTTGGAATTCTTTGGTAAAATCTCATGTTTAAGGGCTAATTACACTAAATTAACTATTTTTTTTGGAATTAATATCAAAAACTTGGAGGTAGGATTTTTGGATGTTCATTTGTGATGTCAAGTGCACTCAAGACCTTTGTTCTATCTAGAGAACTCCATAGGGGGTGATTCCTAAATTGGTGTCAACATGTGTACGGTCATAAACATAATTAGAAACAAAATGAGTTCCTCGATGTGGAGGCATATATCTTTCGATGGTAGGTTGGCTCTTGTTAACTTGGTCTTAGTGGGTCCTTCCTTGCATTATATGAGCATTTTCAAAATCACCAGAAAAGTGTGTAAAGAATTGGAATGAATTAGAACCCTGCCTTGTTAAAGCTTGTTCGGTGATGGCCTAGACGGTATGAAATAACAAAAAAAGTATGTCAAAAAATTCGTCTACTTATGGTGCAACTCAATTCTCAACTTCTTTTCTTTAATATAAGACAGAAGCCACGTTTTTGTGTAGGAAAGAAAACCAGGTAGATAACAAGAACAACAATAAATAAATATAAAAAAGCATTTAACTTTTCTATAATCCTAGTCAAAGGCCTTTCTATTTCTCAAGCAAACCCGTGCAATTATTGATCTTCCAAGCATTTTATAGTATGGGATGTATGACTAGAATTACTACATATCTTCTAGGCAAGAATTGGTTCTGGACTGCTGAGCCAGCAGGAGCTACTTCTTATGGAGTCAATTCTGATAAAATAAGGAAGCTCTGTAGATAGGCATGGTCAAAAGTTTGCTTTAACAAGTCACCAGGACGCTTGGAAATCACTGATTTAGGCACGAGATATGGTAATTGGTGTGATTAATTCAACTCAAGTCAATCGTCATTATGGAAAGTCACAATGACCATCAAATTGAGGAGCTGAACAGTGCAATATTTGTCATGTGGAGAACATATTGCTTTCCAAATCTTCATATGTTCGGAGGGCAATCTATGGAATTGGAAAAAAGGTATGACTAATATCGTTGGTTGGAAATGGTTGACAATTGGGAGGACACAATGACCTATGACAAAAAATATGACAAAAAATAGAAGTTAAGGAGATGCCTATATTGCAGAAGAAAGGGGGGGGGGGGGTATTACTAGTTGCAACTTGAGCTTCAATAGAAACTTGAATCAATGAGATGAAAATGATCATGATGCGTTAGAAACGTGAGGCTAAAATGTCTATAAAGACAGATTGGTTTGGGGACATGATACTCTTGATGGCTACAATGTTAGCTCATGTGTTAATCTATTTAGATCAAAGTTCAATAATTTTAGAAGGTGATTGGCATAAAAAGGTGTGGAAAAAGATGGAAAACAATTTCAATTATGTTTGAGATTCTACTTGTATTAATTTAGGAATGAATTTCAATATATTTTCTTGTCTAAATATATTATATTATTTTCTTTAACTTTCTATCATTAGCACTTAATTATATAAAACGTCATATGTTATTCAACATTTAATCATGTAGAGAGTTAAAATGGTAACTTTTTGTTGTTATGCGCTTACTATAGAATACTTGGTAAACAACAATTTTTAGGGGCTATTTGTTTGCATCTGAATGATGCTATTCAGAGCTTAACTTTGAATCGCTAAGATGTTAAACATGTTTAGTAAATTTTGAGTGATCTCTTAATCGTTCTAAAAACCTATGGACTGTTCATTCTCAAGGGCACAAGCGTATCATTCGGAGACACCACATTTCCGCGGTTACCCTCGTCTCACTCCATCTCTTCTCCTGCCATCACACGAAAACTATCTGTTCTTCGTTGCTCTACTCTGCTACTCATCGAAATCATGTTACCCTTTTTCAACTTGTTTGTCATCACTTCTGATTTGGGTTTGCTTGGTACCATTTTCATGAGCACAAATTGGCATCAATTTGAAAACCAGAACCACTCGTCTACTTATCTTCACTTCTGATTTGGGTTTGATTGGGTGTTCTTTGTATCAAATGTGTACTTCAAGATTTGTATACTACCTGTTTGATGAAATGCTTAAAAGAAATTGTAAAAGGGTTGCTACTAAGTTCAAGGCTAGAGCTTTGCAGCAGAGATTGAATTCTATTGATAGAGTTAAAGAATCCCCCCAAAAAAGTTTAAAGGTGGATGCAAAAAAGAATGATATTGCTGCCTTATGATGGTTGGGGACAAGGTAGCTAGGGAGGCACTTGGTTGTTGGGGCTGGTTCGAATCGAAATGCAAGGGAGATTCAATGTATAGATCAAACAACCATACATTCTATCACTTATAAGCATGTACATGACCTCTTCAAAATTAATGTGTTTTAAGTATGTGCTGCAGATGGTTTTTCCAGTATGGTTTTGAATGTTAAAATTTAAATAAGACTTTATCTGTATGGTAGTTGTTATCTCTTGAACATTTAGGAGCATAGAATTGTCTTAAATGTCGAGGTTTTCGTGACCTTTTGGTATATCTTGAGTGTTGACAACAGATATGTGTTTGCTTTAAAACTTTTGGTGATATGTTTCATTAGGTGGTTTGGCATTTGGTTTATGTTAAATGATTTGGTTACTAGTTTTCTGTTTCGATATCTCGTTTCTATTTTGGCTTGATAGCGATGAGTTCTTTTTACTTCTCTCGTCTGTAGGTTTTTCATTGAGTCCTCTTCTGACATCGTGGATTCCCTTCTGCTTGATTTCCTGTGTTCAACATGATCGTTCTTTGTTGTTTTGATGGTTTGATTGTTGTTTCTACATTGTTTGTTTTGTTCTTTCGTTCAAAACGAAGAGGAACCCTCGACATTTAAGCAAATAATAACCATGAATTTGTTTGTTTCCATTTCGATGAAAATTTGTACTTCCAACACTAATAGATAATCTTAAGGAACACAAATTCGTCCTCAAAATCCATGTATTACGTTGCAGGGTAATGGTTTAATTCTGAACATTTACCAGACAATTTATATTTTATTCGGTACTAAATCATACAGAAAGGTAAAATAGTAATTTTTAGTCATTCAGACTGTTTGTTCAGTACATTTACCAAACAATCATTTTTCATTTTGCACTAAATCATACAACGTCTCTTAATCATGTTGACGACCTAATTATTCTGCATCAAATCATTCAGTTTCTACCGAACACCCCCTTAGTCAACAATTATTCCAGACAGAGCCTCTTATTCAATTCAGCTGGGCAGTCAATTGTGGCGATATAGGGGTGCAATAGCGGTTCACGGCGATATAGGGGTGCAATAGCGGTTCACGGNGGCGATATAGGGGTGCAATAGCGGTTCACGGCGATATAGGGGTGCAATAGCGGTTCACGGAGGTTAGAGAAGTAGTAGTGGACAAATAGCAGGTTTAATAGTGTACTGCAAATAACGACACTATTTATCGCTATTTGACTGCAGTTGAACCCAAAATAGTTGACAAGATTACCATTATTTCTTTGTATGGGCTGTTTTCTTATTTAGCGGGTTTTTTGGGATTCTGTTTGGGTGGTGGCCTGTGACGACAACAATTATTAGGTTTCCCATTCCACTATAAGGTTTCCAATTCGGCCATTCCACCCTTCCGGCTCAAACTTTCACGCATTCATGTTCTTTATTCCGCACTTCAACAATTCACTTGTCGACCTGCTTCCATGTGCGCGACCTTGTTTGTTCATCGAATCATCTTCATGACTTTGTTTTGTGCTCGTGCTCCAACACTGAAGTACCTAAGTTTTTTACCAAAGCATCTTCTCTGCTCCCATTCGAGACTCCGAGTTGAACTCTGTGTTTTCTGCAAATGGTGTTAATGGTTGGACACCACTTTGGTTAATGTTTAGCTACTGGCCTATGTCACTAAGTGGATGGTCTTTGAATTTTGCAACAAACAATGGTGGGCAGTAAGCAACTATATTTTATGTCTTTTGTTAGGTTGGACTTAGACACCACTTTGTTTCCATTCTATTGGATGTTCTTTGTTAAGTTCTTTGTATATGTAAATGTTTCTATTATCTTATAAACCTATTTTTTACCACTATAGCACCACTTTACCAACACAAACCACGATTTCAAATCATGGTCCTAACAGCGATTTCTACAAATGACCATGTTAAGTTGTTAACTACTTAGCAATTCAGAGCATCTTATCTTGTTAGCTTACCTAGATTTTTGGTAAACAGACCTGCTTTTAAGCTTGTTCTATTTTCATATTTGATTTATCAATTTAATATCTTGTTAAATTCGGTTAGCAATTAGTTTCATATTTTCTTAGCTCAACTAAGGTTTATGAGTTCACCCATGTAGTTATTAATGTAGCTAGCGTATTGTTAAACTATTTAAATTGTATTTGGTGACACCATGGTCAATCAAGTTTATATATATGGATGTTGCTAATATGTTAATAAAGGCTGTCTATAAAACTAGAATGGTTTTCTACGTTTTTTAAGTTGAGTTGATCCTAATAATTTTGTTACCAACTTACTATAAGTTTGTTAAGTCAAAGTCTCAAAAGACGAGATAAATTCTAACTTCTTGACGCATGCCTTCTTCCGTTGAAAAGATAGAGACATAGGCGATGAGAATAAGTCATAGCTAAATGGTAGATACGGGAGGAAATCTGACCATGTTAATTGAGCACCCCTCCCTTGGTGAACCAGGGTTGCTTTGCTTTGTTAGGATTGGGGAGGGATGTCTTTATATGCAACATTTTCTTACCTTTTTGTGAAGAGGGTGTTACTATGATCAAACCCTTGAATTGCTGGTCAAATATTAATAATTATATATGAGCATTGATGGTGTTGTTGACCCTTTAGAATGGTTGAGAGTGAGTTGGTAATATGTAGATAGAAATACAAAAATATCCTAGACATGTGGATATCTTTATTTATATGATTTGAATCTGTACGTCTTACGGTTCATATTATTGGCCTCACATACCCACAGAAACTTCCATCTGCCACTAATGTTTCAGTTATGGCATGTAATCAAGGTTCTAAATAGCATGAGGTGTGGTGTGGCAGGGGTGACTTAAGGTGAAAGTCTGTATATCATATTTATATGTATATATATATAAATACATATATACACACATACGTTTTATGCTATTACCCAATGAATTGAACAATTTAAATTTATATGAAATGAAGAAAATTTCTATACTGATATCATATATATTATATATGTATGTATACATAGAGCTTAGTTTTTTTTATTTAGAGTTCATAACAATGTAAAAAGTGAAAAGAAGACGAACTTTAACAAAATAATAATTAGAAAGTCAAATAATGTCTCTTCAAAAGAACTCGTGCAGTAACGTGCCTCAAGACGCCATGGCGCGCACTTTGCTTACATATCCACTATGGGGTTAATGTGAACAAGGAGATACATCTCGCACCATGGCATGCGTTTTAGTACCCTGCATGTGATTATACCCCTTTTTTTGGGCAAAAGGTTAATTACCGGCAACCCCAATTGGCCCCACACAAAACGTGCCTCAAGGACACCAAGGCCTGTCATGTATTTGAGTAAAGTCACCCCATCCCTTTGCCAACTGAGCTACACACCAGAGGCGATTATACCCTTTTTATTCTTTCCCTGTTCCATTGATTGGGCCCCAATATTTTCTCCTAACAAAAAATAAACGAGGCCTGCAATCACATCTTGTTTTCTCCTCACAGCACATAAAGAAACCCATAAAATGAAGATATGAAATAGCCGAAACTGTTGGGGTCTTCTATTATTGCATGGTTTGCTGCTTTTTTTCATGGATTTATGTGTTGCTACTACACACACCAAGAAAGTTTATATATATTAAATGTCAGTTCATGAGTTACATAAGATTAAAGTTTTTAGGTTGATTGGCAGTGAAAGTTACTAACTCGTTTGTTTCCTTCTTGTTCCATCAGTTAAAAAGAAGATATGGATGTTGACATTGACCATTATGTTATTCTTGGATTGCCATCTGGTGAAGAAGGATCCAAGCTTTCAGAGAAAGAGATAACAAAAGCATACAGGTCAAAGGCTTTGGAACTGCATCCTGACAAGAGACCTGACGACCCCAATGCTCATGCCAATTTTCATAAGCTGCAAACTTCTTATCAAATCCTCAAGGATGAAAAAGCTAGGAAACTTTTTGATGATCTTATTCGAGTTAAACTTCAGAAACGTCAACGCCAATCACAACAAGATTCCAAGCGTAGGAGAATGATGTCAGATCTTGAAGAAAGAGAGCGCACTGCTTTTGCTGATGATCCAACTGCTAGAGCTAGAGGTGAAGAAGAGAGTATTGCCAGGAAACTTAAAGAAGAAATTAGTAGAATCCGCGCAATGTATGCCAATAAAACAACTGGAACGTCGCCTTTAGAGAAAGAAACAGTAGTTGGACGGAAAAGTAGTGTGGGTGGAGGCCCTAGTGCTACAGATAAGGAGAAGATGCTTAAGGTTTCATGGGAGAAGGTTGGTCTGGATTATAGTGCACAAACACTGAGGGAGTTATTTGAAACATTTGGTGAGGTCAAAGATGTGGTTATTAGGAGTTCCAAGAAAAAAGGATCAGCCCTTGTCGTCATGGCTACCAAAGAAGCAGCTGTAAGTTGTTTTGTCGAATTACTTTAAATCATGTTATCTTTTAAGTGTCCACATGAAGGCAGGGTTCAAATGGGTTCTATATTTTGCAGATTGCTGCGACTGGAACTGTATGTGGGGATCTCTCGAATCCTTTGTTAGTAGTACCCCTACAACCAGCAGTAACTAGTGCTTTTCCAACAGCCCGTGAGCCTGTGGAGTCTGATGGTCCGAAGCTAAATGAAGACCTTGTTGGCGCTAGATATCAAGCGTTTGAAGATTCTGTCTTACAGAAACTGCAGAAGGTTTGACCTGCACATGAATCTCTTTATCATGTGATTCCCTTTACCATAGCTTAATAGATATAGGTAATTCTTATACTTGGGGTTCAGTTATCATGGGACAATGTAGTAAACTGGATGGTCTGATTTCAGAATAGAACACCACCTTTTTCAATAATCCCTTTGGTTTAAAACACCCTTATTCTTTGTTTTTGAACATAATCCTCCTAGACTGTAGGATTCATATAGAATAATGTAGGATTTATGATTTTATATGAAGACTATCATCAGATCCTACTGCATAACTTGGGATTTATGATTCAATCACCACCACTACCAGAATATATAAATTTATACCAATATAACAGAAATGCTTCGTCCATTGCATTTTGTCGTTGGTGTTGATGAATGAGACATAGGAAAGGGAAAAAGCAAAAAATCAATTGTACAAGAGGAGTTGGTACTAGATTAATGAAATTTGTTTTTCATCTGTTTTGCAGGCTGCCCAGAGACAAAAATGATGTATAAATAAATTCCAAATACCAGAAAGATGTTGGTTTTGAGAGAGGTGATGAAATGTAAGAAAGTCACAATTTGACCTTTCTATGTGGGTGCTTTTTTGGTTCACATTGCGACTCTCAAGGAATTTCTGTTAGAAACCATGTATTGGAAGACAAATAGGTAGTTGGTTTATGTACAATGATTATTACATTACTAATCTGGCATTAGAATTTAACATGCAGTTTTGAATTTGTAAGTGTGTACCCTGGCTTTTTGTATATCATCTGTTTTCACATATATAAGTTGATGATGTTGAAAATGAAGCATCATTCAAAAACCCATCTCAAGAACCCATTGGTGTTCCACCCTCTCTTTGCAAAAGCCATCTCAATAACCCATCAAAAAAGTTGAAGAAAAACCATCTTAAAAAAAAACCTAGATCTCACTACAGCATTTCTGGGAGCTGTGGTGCAATTTATTTTTGAAGAAAAACCCATCTGAAGGGAGTAGGTAGATTGGAGAAATAAAAAAACGTAACGGGAGGTTGAGGGAGGGAGATGTGGTACCGACGAGAGATTGAGGGAGGGAGGGAGCAATGGTGTCGAGAGGAACAGTTCCTGCAAGGAGCTTGGTGGAGACGATGAAAGAGTTTTGGCATGGGAGTCTTTTGGTGCGAGGGTTTTGATTTGTGAGAGCTGAGTGAGTTTTTTAGGGGAGGGGTAAAAGTGGAATTAAAACGTCCGTCTCAATAAAGCTCCCCTCCTCAAGGTGAGCGAATAAGTCATTGCTTTCATCATTAAGTCACTAACAAACACCTCTACATAGCTGACTGAATAAGCTATATCCCATATTAAGCTCATTAAGCCACTACCAAACAGGCCCTTAGTTTGTTTGGTCATGTAAAAGGTTCTAAATCCGTGTTTGTGTGTATATACAAGTTCTCTAATACAATTTTTTTTTATCTATATATATATATAAGAAAGTTCAATTATCAAAGTTTGTTTCAAAACGCGTCCTTGGTTATCCACCGTCATCAAGAATATCATCGAATGTGTACTTGTATCTTTTACAAGAAACAAAATATAAACCAATCTTTATGTCAATAAACAAATATCATTCCTACCTTCATTCTATAAATATCTCAACTTATATTGGAGAATACAAAGACACAATGGCCAACAAAATTCATCATCATCAGCAGCAGCAGCACCATTACCAACTGCAGCTAGTGTATGTGCTTTGGTTTGGTAATAGAATCAATATCATGCAGGTTTCCTTAGAATCTTGACAAGCAGATACCAAAGGCCAGAATCAACAGAGGATAACACAACAATAAGCATTGCCACAAGAACAAGAGTCAGGCATGCAGTCTTCACCTGCAATTAATTTGCATACACATTTCTAATTGCAATTGCCATAATTCATTGAAATTACCTACTTGCCCATTATCAGCATTACAAATACATTGATGGCCATGATACAAATCCACAACATGATTCATTTGTCTTTGAAGATGGTTAGGATATTTGACAAAGAGCAGAGAGTGGTTTCTGTGAAATAAAATCCAGCAACATGATAATAGCAATAATTTCCATTTTAAGATGTCTCCTAACAATTTCAAGCTAAAACTATATGTAATAGTCACCAAGGCATCATTGCAAAAGTCATTTTGATGATCATTTCTCAACCAAAAATATTCAACACCAAGTCGTTGCGCCCCGTTTACTCACTTTTAGGTCCCGTTTGGTTTGTAGGATTTGAGGGATTTGGAATTCAATTCCATTCCAATCCCATGTTTGATTTGAGGGATTGCTTGGGTTTGAAATCGCACAAACATTGGATTTAGAAATCCCACGAGGCTTGTTGGTATTTCACTAGATTTCATAGGATTTGTATGTAATGATGTTTTAAAATATGTTGAAAGCATTTGCTTTATAATAATCAATTAATAAAAAGGTAATTTGATTTTTTTAATAGAATTATAATTTATCTTTATAAAAATTATTAGAATGGTACTTACGCAATGCAGCGAGATACATCTCGATTTTAATATTTCATTTTATTCTTTATCTCTATCGATATTATAATATAATATGGTGATATGTGGTTTTGAGAAAACGATAATATTTTTATGTTTGAACAAAATCCAAATTTAAAGATATCATAAAACTTTGAAAAAAGATATATATCAATATTAACATTAAATTAACTATTTAAAAGTTCACATTTTCTATGTAATTTCTTTAATTTAATTTTTTATTATAATTTAATTTAGATTTAACAACAAAGTAATTTATTTTTGGTTTATTAATATATTTTTTACAAAGATAATAATTAAGTATTCTATTAAAACTCAATTATTATCCTAATTATATTTTAGATTTCTTATATTTAAATAAATGAGATATTTATCGTGTATATGATTATGTTTATCTGCAGTGAGTTACACATTCAAACATGGAGCTTTAATAAGTTGTCCTTACACACAATCTACTTGTAATCTTGAATTTTAAGTAATATGCATCACTATATAGTACTTTATGCATAAAAGAAAGTTTTTAAGAGTTTTTATCAAATGTAGTTTTTAAGAGTTTTTGTCAATGTTTTATAATATGGTATAGATATAGATTTAAAGAAAATGGAATTCAATTTCATTCCAAATCCTACAAACCAAACACACCAAATCGTTCCAATTCCAAATCCTTCCACGAAATCCAAATCCCTCGAAATCATTCCACAAACCAAACCCCCCTTGGTTCGCGTTACATGTACCATTTCATATGCAATCTCAATGTCAAAGAATATTTATACATGTGGTTCTTATATCGTGACAACCGTATGATTGTTTGCTATCAAAAGATGCAGATAAGGATTTATGAGACATTGGTCGTTATTTAGGGCAGAAATTTCTTTGAATTGGCAACGAACAAAAAACTCTAAACTTCTCGTCGACTTATGCCCAGATATGTTGAAACCAGGAAATAAAGCTAGATTCAAAGTACAAATACTAACCGTATTCTGGAAACCTGGCCACTCTATGTACTTCAGCTGGCTAGGCTGCTCCGCAAGGAAGGCAAACAAAGATTTTACACCACTGAAATTTAATACCCTTTAATTAGTTACTCAAAGTTCCATGTTACTTCTATTATTATACAAAAGAGAACTACTTTGACATTATAACCAAATGATACTGTTTAGTTAGATGACTCCTTTTTCTTTTGCTTTCCTCTATAAAAGGAAAGCTGTGCTAAACTTTGCAGAAGGACCTCATATACAACAATAGTCATGATTAATATGTAATCAAGACCATATGGCTATTTGGATATGTGAAGTATTATGTTGGGCCTTAATAGTTATTAGTTATTTTTTGTTCCAAAACAAAAAGGCTTACCTGATAAAGCCCTTTGTAGGTGCTAACCAAAAGGGTTCCTTGACATCATTATGTAAACTAAGCTCGTGGTTTCCTCTTCCTACTGAAATAGCATATTTGGCACCATAACCTTCTCGAACGAAATGCCGAGGCCGTGTTCTAGAAATCTTCAGTAGACAATCATCAAAATAAGTATAACACATGGTATTAGCTATATTCAGTGGTAAAAGAAAGAATACACGGTTACCTTTTCAAAAACCAGCCAGCTTCTTCTGTAATCTATTGATTTGTTCCCTATTAACTTCTGAGTAGGCAATAGTGCTTTGGCAAATGTTATACCTATTCCAGAGTGGAAGAGAAATTCTTGGTAAATAAATATATTGCAAAAAAAGAGAAGCACGCTACCAGTGACTGCTTTTTTTGGAAAAGGAGGGGGGGTCACTTCAGGTTGCAACTTAGGAGTAGTGTCCAAGTTAGACTTTTCAAACTCAATAACAGCCTTTACGCAAGAAACTGTCATATTAGCCAATCATAACAAACAAACTGTTCAAACTGGAACTTTCTATCTAATGATCTACCACTAGGGCTCTCTGTACCATTCTACCACATACCTTCAATCACAAGGATTTCAATCTCTGCCGTAAGCATGAAGATGAGAAGAACACAAGAGAACAACATAATAGAGCAAAGTGATGAACATTTTGTGTCCATTTATATTGCAGACTGCGAGTAGTAAATGATCTTATGAATTATGATGATGACTTCACATTGTGAGCTGAATATAGAAACAATGAACAAATGTTGTTGCAAAGAAATCTTAAAAAAGCAAATTCTGTATTTCGGCATGTACAGTTGCATTGCATCATATTGATACCCTTTGAAGCAGAGGAAGATGAGAAAGGTGGCATGCTCTGAAATAAGATGGGTTTCAGAACAGAAATATCAGAGGAAAGAAGATGGAAAGGAGGAACAGAATTTAAAAAATTAGATGAGGGCTCTGATAGTTAGATACCAACTAGAGAAGAGGCTTAAGAGATTCCATGATGGTTGGATCTCAATGAGGATTGGGTGTTCAGTTAGAGAAACACATTGTTTTCTTGAAAACAAACATAGAGATAGAAATCCTGCCCATTTTTTTATGTCTATAAGATAGTTAGACAGACAGAATACACCAGGATGTGGCTTTGAAAAACACCAACAGGAAGGGGAACGAGAAATAGGTTACATCTGTAGTGAGAAGTATAGAGATGTTAAAATAAACGCAAAAGGTGTGAAGATTAGGATGAGAAAGGAGATGATTTGAGACTACCAAAAACAGATTAGAGGAAAAGATTGTGAGATTTGGTTTTTCAAACACCACAGGGAATGGGAAATGAGAAATAGTCGCATCTGTTGTGAGAAGTACAGAAGTGTTCAAACAAACACAAACATTTGGAAGATTCAGGTGAGAAAGAAGATAATAGGAGAGTCCCTTGAAAATGGATAGAGATCTGGTTGTGACAGTTCATCAGGCCAAGACTAGTAGGAGGTACATTCGACAAACAAGGATTAAGAACAGGTGAGGAGGTAATTTGGGAAAAATCTGAAGGACAAAGCAGAAATCAAAAGCTAACAAGAAGAAATCTTGTGCCTCTCCCAAAGATAAAGTTAGAGAGTTAGAAGATTTGGAGTATCAGCCTGTCTTAGAATAAAATAAGACAACTTTGTTACAGAGGAGTCAATAGGTTAGAAAAATCTAGTCAGTGATTTTATTGATGATGTTTATTCATAGCAAAAAATAATACAGAACAGAAGTAAGTGGTGTCAAATATGAACGGATTAATAATGAATATTCTTCATTAGAAAGTTTAAGGGTTTATGGTTAAGAAAGCTATTCAAGTGAATCAGGTTAATACACTTATAATACACGAAATGGAACAAAAGGAAGTGCAAATGAGCGCTGTTTTTTAGGCAGGCAAATTTGGGGTAAAGGCACAACAAAGATCTACAAGATTTGTTGGTTATATGGTATGCGTGAAGTACGAAGTTTGTAAAAGATCAGACATCAACCAATAGATTGTGATACCCCACAACAATTTTATTGATAAAACAACAACGAAACACAAAACTACCTACTTTCAAGAGGTAGGTCCTCTTTCAATATGTTCAATTCAATACCAATAACTATAATTCACTCAAGCATGTCATTTGTTATCTACTAATCTCTTATATATTTATTTATTTATTTATGGTAATAACATTGATGCTACTTTTCCCTAATTGGTGATGGAACATATTCTACACATGTATAATGTTAGGGTTCAACTAGTAGTCTACTACTAATTTTAACTTCGGTTCATTAATAATTCATTTTGAGCATTAACTGAGGAGTTAACTGGTAATTGCTCACTTCTTATAAAAAAAATCAATAGTAATAATGGTAGTAGCTAACAATAGTAAAAGCATTGCATTCACAACTATGTGATGGCAAACAAATGGGCAAAATGCATGAAAATGAAACATACTTTGATCCGGTTCCTATTCTGGAGACCATCTTTCAAAAGCCTCTTTTAAGGGTTTATAGTATGGAGATTGGTTAATTTAGTACACAATGCTAACATGGTACAGACAAGACACATGGGTCTAAATTTGAAAATTTGTATATTTTAGTACCCACAGCTGCTTAACATAGGTGAAACTTGATGTGTTTCTGGAAGTACATTCCCCCAAATAAATATTTTCAAACCATAAACCCTTAAATAGATATTTTTTAAACTATAGACTCTAAAATGTGTCTTTTAAAAGTACGTTCCCAGTATTGAAATCGAATGAAAATGTGTTCCATTTCCATGCATTTTGCCCACAAACAAATAGAAAGCACAGTAAGGGTGATATAAACATTTGACAATTGGAGTAGTTAATTTGTTCTCTCTCTCTCTCTCTCTCTATCTACTAATACAAGAGAGCAACTTATGGCATCTCTATTTAACCAGATTGGGTACTTGATCCATGAGGTTAGGTACGGGAAAATGGTCTCCAAGGTGTACAACTACTAGTTTAAATTCGTCTAAGGCAGCCATTCTTAAATTCGCCTGGTCGCCCACCTTGGCAACTTTTCCTACGATTGAAGAATGACAAGGTCACTTGATAGGACCTCTCACCTAGGCTACCAGAAGGTAAGACCTTGATAACCTACAATTTATGCAAATTTACTCCCAGTGAGTATCCTTTTTTCTTGGTTCTTAAGAGAGAGCAACATGTCCCGCCAATTAAGCTTGCAGCCCCCATTTACAAGATGCAAACATCACATATTTAATGTAGGAACAGGTATAGGACCAGAAAACTCTCTTTTAAGAACTTAATTCTACAACACCTCCGGATTCATATGATGGTCAGTGTGATATTATCCCAAAAATAAATGATTTACGTTTAATTTGGTGGTAATGTCAACTCTCTCATATTGGCATATACAAGTAATGAAATTTGGAAGACCCTACACCAAGAAGGCCTTGCCTTTCATCTTTGTCTAAAGATGTCTGAAATATATACAAACGTACATGTGAAATATTTTAAGTCGTTTCACCTTACCATCATACTTAGGGTGCTTAATTCTTTAGTATATTTATCTTTTTTCATTTTCATATAAAATCGTGTGGCGCTGAGTATAAGAGATAGATAGAAGGTACCTGTAAAGGTAGTCACGGAATCAAGAATTAAAGCCATTCGATTGTTGATGTAGCTGCAATAAACAAGTAAAAGAGTAAGTAGACAACAGAAAAAATCACAAATGAATGGCATTCGATTGTTGCAGGTATTACATAAGTTGAAGCTATGGTAGTAGACAACCAAAAGTATTAGCAGAATCATGATACAACTCCAACAACATAACTCGCTATTTTGCATATAAAATTACAGAAACATCATCATACTTGGCGGAGCAAGTGCACACTTTCCAATTTCAGATAGAACAATGAACTAGAAGTATAAACCCTAATTTCAATTTATGATAGAACGATCAAATAGATGAAAGAATTCAACAAATAAACCACTTAACAAACCTGGAATCTTAATATTTTTTTTTGGGGGAGAAGATTGATGGTAGATGAATTTTAAACCGATAACTGACAATTGAATAGTTTATGCTAAATTTGAAGTTGGGCCTAAATCCAGAAATAGTGGCCCAATTATACAATCAAAATTATCCTTTCTTCTCTTTATTTATAGAATTATAGTATTTGTTAGAGTAATCAGTAATAGTAATAGTATATCATTCTTTCTTTTTGTAAGAGTCAAATATCATATCAATTTATAATTTGTCCATAAAAATAATAATTGATAGCAAAATATAACATTAGTTTTACGTACTTATAGTTTTAAACGCACATACACTCTCTTGTTGTGTGTGTGTATATATATATATATATATATATATATATATATATATATATATATATATATATATATAGGAGTTGGTTTAAATACTAACCAAGATTTTTGTGTTAACTTTGTTAACCAAGTTCAACCAATCATATTCCATCTTTTCTTTAGGTTCACATATAACTCATATATTAATGACAAGGGTAATTAAGTAATTTGTCATTTATGTAACTCCCAAATCATTAATTGGGAGTTACAAATCTAAAAATCTCAATAACTGATGATTATGTAATATTGATATTTTTTTATACATGTTCATGTTTTGTAATTTCGATTTATTATATCCATAATGATATTGATTTTGTAATTGTTAAAGAATTTCTAATTGTAAAGATTTCGATATCGTCCGAGTAATATTGATAAACCTATTGGAAAACAGATCGACAACAATGAGAATGAAAAGGTCAAAATCGTCTACGACTACAATCGGAATTCAAATTCATATGTAATTGTTAAAGAATTGTTAACAAGTGTTCATATTGTGTTCATATGTACACTAGCTGCATATCTCAACATTGGCTTGCTCCTGAATGTGTTCATAATGAAGAAACTATTGTTCATAAACTGTTCATATTATGTTCATATGTACAGT